AGTCCACTTTCAATCATAACGTTCTCCTTTGACCCGAGAGTTTTTTTCCCTCTGCTAGGAATTTTTCTGTCTTTTAAAAATTAGGAACACATACAGTAGACATCAATTTTAGGAAGAAAAATCCTGTGGCTTTAGTTTTGTTTTAAAGCAAACCGTGGTATAAGTGAACAGTAAAATACCTTGGACTCATCATGGTCTCCCAAACAGCTGGAATTCAAAGAAACCTGCTCCCACCCACAGGGGAGAATGAGTTGCCATTGAAGCCACTCTCTTTAAAAGACAGTCCTGCATACATTTGGGAGTTCTGCTAAAATCTACAATTTTCACTCCATCATTGACACTCTAAAATACTGATGTGGGTACAATGCACAAACAGAAACATTAAGCTTTCAGAGGTAGCACTGCAGCATCAGGGCATAGCAGCTTTCATAAGAAGATTGCCAATCAAGATCACAGTGATCCAGATTTATGCACCTCCAACCAATGTTGATTTATGCACCTCCAACCAATTGACCAGTTCTATGAAGATTTACAACTCCTTTTAGAAATTTTTAAAAAGTCACCACCATTTGTTTCTGTGAGGGAGAGGTATCGTTCTTATGAACTATACTTGTGCAGTGGCTAGAACCTGATGTACAAGTACATATAGGTAGGTACACCACACAGTAGAAGAGTTCATAGATCAGAGTAAGCAACTATGACCTCCTGGATGTTTTTTGCCTCATAAGTTCCATGAAACAGAATTGGTGCCACCAATGGAATTGTAAGAGTTGTGCTTCAGAAATATCAGGAGAGCTGCTGTTGCCCACCCTGTCCTGGGGTTTACAATAGTGTGTGAATCACATGGATTTCTGGGGCTTTTTACTTAAGTTTGGAAACTCAAGTTTGGAGAATAAGGCATGTTCCTGACTCCATCTCTCCTGTGATCATTGTTACATACAGCACTGATGTTACCTGTCTGTCATGGGTTTGGAGGGAAAGTTCCATCCTATGGGGAGTGGAAGGCGGGACATCAGGAGGAGGGGCTGTACTGTATATATATGTGGAGTGTGTGTGAAGAGTTTAGGAGACACTGGGGGATGCTGAGAGACACTGGGTTGTGACGAAGCAGCAGCTGGGAAGAAGAAGCTGTTGTGGGAGTCTGTGTGTCAGACAGGGTACTACTGTGTGTCAGAGTACCAACCTGATAGGTTCAGGTGTCTGTTGGTTAGCCAGAACTGATAGGTTCAGGGTCTGTGCTTCAAGTTAAGGGTTCTGGGTGAACCAAACTGTATGCTTGTATGAGTGAGAATAAGCCACGTTACTTTATCCTATTCACCTGATTGTTTATTTTTCCCTGTGTGTATTTAAAATAAACCTTATTCTTTTTATTGTTTCAAGAAGAGGTGGCAAGAATACACAGAGGAATTATACCAGAAAGATCTGGATTTCCCGGACGACCCAGATAGTGTGGCTGCTGACCTTAAGCCAGTCATCCTGGAGAGTAAAGTTAAGTGGGCCTTAGAAAGCATGGCTAACAACAAGGCCAGTGGAGGTAATGGCATTCCAACTGAACTATTTAAAATCTTAAAAGATGACACTGTTAAGGTGCTACACTCAATATGCCAGCAAGTTTGGAAAACTCACCAGTGGCCAGAGGATTGGAGAATATCAGTCTGCATCCCAATCCCAAAGAAGGGCAGTGCCAAGGAATGCTCCAAGTACCGTACAATTAGACTCATTTCACATGCTAGCAAGGTTATGCTCAAAATGGAAAAAGCCATTGAGTTCCAGAAAAACACCTACTTCTGCTTCATTGACTACACAAAAGACTTTGACTGTGTGGACCACTGCAAACTATGGCAAGTTCTTAAAGAAACGGGAGTGCCTGACCACCTTATTTATCTCCTGAGAAATCTATATGTGGGACAGGAAGCAACAGTTAGAACTGGATATGGAACAACTGATTGGTTAAAAATTGGGAAAGGAGTATGGCAAAGCTGTATATTGTTGCCGGGCTTATTTAACCTATATGCAGAATACATCATGTGAAAGGCTGGACTGGAGGAATCCCAAGCCTGAATGAAAATAGCTGAAAGAAATAACAACAACCTCAGCTATGCAGATGATACCACTCCGATGGCAGAAAGTGAGGAGAAATTAAAGAACCTCTTAATAAGGATGAAAGAGGAAAGTGCAAAAATGGTCTGAAACATCAAAATAATGAAGATCGTGGCCACTGGCCCCATCCACCTCCTGGCAAATAGAAGGGGAAGATATGGAGGCAGTGACAGATTTAACTTTCTTGGGCTCCATGATCACTGCAGATGGTGACAGCAGCCACAAAATTAAAAGACGCCTTCTTCCTGGGAGGAAAGCAATGAGAAACCTAGATAGCATCTTAAAAAGCAGAGATATCACCTTGCCGACAAAGGTCCGCATAGTCAAAGCTATGGTTTTTCCAGTAGTGATGTATGGAAGTGAGAGCTGGACCATAAGGAAGGCTGGCCGCTGAAGACTTGATGCTTTTGAATTGCGGTGCTGGAGGGAGGCTCTTGAGAGTCCCCTGGACTGCAAGGAGAACAAACCTATCCATTTTGAAGGAAATCAACCCTGAGTGCTCACTGCAAGGACAGATCCTGAAGCTGAGGCTCCACTATTTTGACTATCTCATGAGAAGAGAAAACTCCCTGGAAAAGACTCTGATGCTGGGAATGTGTGAAGGCAAGAGGAGAAGGGGACGACATAAGACAAGATGGTTGGACAGTGTCATTGAAGCGACCAACATGAATTTGACTGAACTCCAGGAAGCAGTGGAAGACAGGAGGGCCTGGCGTGCTCTTGTCCATGGGGTCACGAAGAGTCGGACATGACTTAACAATGGAACAACAACATGGTCCCTCCCCTGATGCAGACCCTTTGCAAGGACACATTAAATGCTGTGGTACTATAGCCATTTCCATGCATCTTTTGAAATCAGCAGTTAGATTTTCATACAGGACTGGATCTAGCATGTAATCATCCCTCTGAACCAAAAAACAATGGTAAGCTTGAGTTACATACCGCATACTCTTTCCTGATCTTGCATCTCTAGAAGCAAGAATGCAAAAAAAAGATTATTTTTCTGGGAGGAAGAATAATGAAGATGGTCATATCTTGCGAGCACACTGTGTGCAGCCCATGGTAATCCTATGAGCACTTTTGCATGCATGTCAGAAAAGATATAAGCATGGGCTTAAGAGAGGGGTAACATGGCACATGTCCAGGGTGTATGAAATGCTTGGGGTTAAGTCATGACAGACCCATAGTGGCTGTTTGGGGGATTCTTTTGCATGACCTGCTAAGCAACAGAATGCAATGCTTTCTTTCCCTGCACTGGAAGGTGGTGGAAGTTGGTGGCCCAGCTGTTGCTACTTCCCCACCCCCACTTTTGAAAGAGAAAGCAGACTGACAGGTTGCTTTGTGTCTGGTTCCTTCACTGAGGCTGCTGCACCCAGTAGGTGTTGGCTTATGGGTGATAAGCAGCAGCCTAAGACCTGTGGTAACTCTTTCCATTTGGAGGATTTCCTTCCCTGAGCTTTAGGCCTCAGAAAGGCTGTTTCAGTGGCTCTCGATGGGAGCAAAATCAGAATTGTTTCATGTTTTTGTTTTGCGGGTTAAAGCTGGGGAACAGGCCCCCCCTCTGGCCTTTCCTAAGCATACAAAAAAGCAGCAGTATTTTTTACAGTGCTCTGCGCTGTCAAACTATTAAGTATTAAAGACTTCTTGTGGTGTATTGGCAAGTGATTGACACTAAGCTGAAGCAGGTGCAGAGAGCGTAGAGACTGCTTCAGAGTGCCCCCCTCTTTCTCTCCCTCTCTGTGCGTGTTTGTGTATGTGTGTGTCTGTTTCTATAGGAGGGGGTGAACAACTAGGCTGGGAAAGCAAATTATAGTCTCTGCCCATGGCCATTGGTCCTTAGGGCCTCTGGACTGTGTGGCAGCTGGCCCCTTGAATGGTATGAACAAGATTCAGTTCGTGAGGACTGGGTTTGGGGGGGAGCGCAAATCTGACTCTTTCGTTTCCCTCACAGGGAAACTGAATTTTGGGCTGAAGCTACTCTAGACTCACCTAGGCTAAGGGGTTGGGAAGGCTATTACATTTATTCTCATATGTGAGACCCTGCCCCCATCTCTTTGGCTCCTTCTCCTGTCTTGCCCTGATTTTCTTTTGCCACTTTAGTGACTTTTGTAAAGTTCGGAAAACAGTCTTTGTTCTGAAAGTTAAAGGAGCCCAGTAAGCCATTCAGCTAAGGACCCTGCCCACCTGCCCGCTTGGTTCTCCACACCACCACCACCCCAGTAATAGCTAGATGTTGTCCAGGCCATGCCGTGTTCCAAGGCAAAACAGGCCCATTGCATTGATACATATAAAGCTGTAATAAAAGGATGTTGTCCAGGCCCTGCTGTGCTCCAAGGCAAAACAGGCATTGATACATATAAAGCTGTAATAAAAGAGTGAGGGGCTTTGGAGCATGTGCAAAGTTATTTTTTCCTACTACTTCAAATGCTGTAGTACTTACATGTCTGTTCAAGACATGTCCTGCTCAAGAACCTATAGATAAAAGTCCCTTGGTGCAATTGAGTGATGTATTGGGGAGGGTAGTTCCTGCTTAATGATCCTGTGGACCAGCACACTTCCCTAACAAATTGTTTATTTTGCCTTCCAGAACTGTGCTTTGGATTAGAGACCCAAGGGATCGCCATGCATCCATATGCGCTGAGAGATGACTTGGAAGCCCACAGTAGCTGAAGGTCAACCCTGATGAGCCAGTGAGGATGGAAAGCTGTTGGTGTTTTTACCTTGGAAAGGAACTCTGAATGGATTTGCCATGGTGACATGAAAAAAGGGCCAGGATGGGTGATGGACTCTCGTGGAGGCTCTCCCACCTTTGTGCTGCCTCTTGGTGATACACTCCTGAGCTTTTCCTGAGTCAG